TCATATGATGAAAACTACAGGCCTCTCTCATCTTTTTAAGTGGGAGAACTTGCACAATTGGTGGCTGACTAAATACTTTTTTGCCCCACTGTATTAGAGAGCTCTAACTTAATCACAATTTATTAGTAGTCTTGTTTCATTCATCTAAATGACTTATCAAACTTCAGCCTGGGTTCATCAATAAAAAATGTGTTTGCAAAAATTATTAAATAAAGCAAAGTTATTCATACCTTATCCTACCTTGAAGAGTTTCTTTCAGAAAACACCTGATGTTCTTTTATTTCAAAATCCAGTAATTTATACAGTTGCTTATATTTGTGGTATTTTAAATTGTTTTCAATATTTAACATATATTAACAGCAGTTATTATCATATGGCTTGATGTTATTTTCATGGAGCACCTTTTGTGCAAGTTCAAAAAAAAAGAATCATATTTCTCTGATGATTCGGTATCCTCTCTATTAATATTTTTATTTCCTCCAGTGTTGTCTGTATACGTCTGGATGATTATCACATTTTAAAGATTGGAATTAGATATCTGCTGGAAAGATGGCTCAATTAATCATTCCATGAATTTCATAAATCTAGTAGTGTTCTTTTTCTGTAAACTTTTAAATAACATGGAAAATTTATTAGAAAACCTGATATGCAATATGGATAAAAATTGAAGTCATAGATCATTTATCATACTTTTTGAATTGCCATATCTCATTACATCAGTATAAATTGCCCTTGATGGCACATTTCAGCCCCACTGTGGCCAGAAGAAAGCTCTGTCTAGTAAGCTGCACTTCAGGATCAGCTTTAGCTTGAATAATTTTCTTTAAGTTGCTGTCTTTTCTTTCCCAAAACTTAGATTCCAGAAATGTCTGGAGACAGGGTAATAATTAGAATTAGTACTATACTGTATATTATATATTAGTACTAAATATATCAATCCTAATAATAACCAATTATTTCATTCATATATATTCATCTTAGGTGTCTTAGCTTATACCCTTATTCTCTTTGAGATTTTTATACTATTCTGCTATCTTTGATTATACTTTCCAAATTCAATGTTAATGTTTAATTATCCATGGAACATGTCATAGCTGTCCTGCCTATACTTTTATTTAATCTAAACTATGTTATTGATATGTTTTCTCACTTTCTCAGTACCTGAAAATTGACATATTGTTGGACAAGTTATTGCTCACTTGACTATTCCATTACTTCCTGCTATGGCCCTCAAAGTCCCTCTAAAGTTCCCACAACAGTTATCATCAAGATTCCATTATACAAAAGAAGAGATTCTAAATTCATTGTTGTTGAACAAAGATTTCAGTCAATGCCTTCAAAGAACCCATGAAATACTAAAATAGCCAAAAGTAATAGTGGAAAAATATAAAGGCTGATTGGCCATCGCTCTCTATTTTTTTTAATGAATGCATCTTAACTAATCTCTTCAGAAGGAGATGTGTATAGTAAGAATTCCTGAAGAAAGGTTTCCATAAATTTAATACCAGCATTTCAAAAATACATTGTAGGTTTAATCTCAGTTGATGATGTTGGTAGGAGTTCATATGATATATGCTGAGCAAGAATGCCTGAAACAAAGTTTTGATGATATTGGTAGGACTTTATAAGATGACTTGAACATATTCTGGACAATATTATTTAGAAACAAAGTTGTGAATATTTTCAAATGAGAATATTGATAACCCAGTTTCTTGGCAAATGATGAAGAAGAAAGTGAATCTTGCTCACAAAGGGAGCAAGCAGAAACCACTTGCAAGGGGAAACCAGCCTATTCAATCTGGCCAATATATGCCATGCTGGAAGGCTCCTGAAGTAGAAACTGGATTTCTAGGTGTGCCTAGGAAAATACCTAGAACTAGATTCTTGGCAGAAAAAAGAAAGAAAATCCTCCCACACCATTATAATAGGACACTGTTGGGCTCAGTGGTATCTGTGGCGGTTGGGAGAAGGGGAGGTCAGACTAATAGTAGCAGCATCTCAACACAAATCCCATCCCTTTTCTTTGTGTGTCACAATGTCACATGGCCCAAAGAGGCAGAGTATAATTCACGATACCACTTTAGTCATTCTGATGAAAGTGTCAAATTGCTGTGGATGTGCTGGTTGGACTTCAATATAAATCCATAGCCTAGTGCTGACGGAGCTCTAGATAGTATTGTATTTGTGGTAACATTGCTATGTAATGTGGATTGATGAGGTTCAAGGCTCAGGACATTTTATATCTGGCCATAATTGTGAGCATTATACTGTTGGATTAAGAAGTTTATCCTTAGCACAATGATTTTCACTCCTATTTCTTAATAGCCCTGCCCATTTAGAGGGCTTTTTGAGCAGAAAGATTTCAGGAACTTAAATTAATCTTGAGTGGAAAGCGTCCAGTCATCAAGCTTGAAGTAATTATAACTATTAGGGTGGCAAATAGGAATTTTCGTATTAAATATAGGAGGGAAAAATAGGTTAATCCACTACCACAGATAAATGGCCTTCCCCTATATTAAAAAAATTTAATAATTACTTTAATCTCCCCTTTAGTTTTAGAGGATTCAAGTTTATCCCTTCTTCATTTGTTAACAGCATTTTTCATTCTGCTAAATTAAGTGTTTGAAAAGGCACTTGTAAATATTTAAGCAAACACTGATATATGCACTTTCCACCTAATGTTACCTTAGCTACCTGTGATCTTAAAGAACAGTTTGAACATTTCTCTTGTGTAATTCAGAAATCTCATCCTAAATATTTCTTATTAACAGATTAAATCTTGACAATTTAAAGTTTGCTATGCATACAGATATGTTCTGTTGAAAGAAAAAACTGTCCAGAAAATGTCTGGGCGTATAGAAGCTTCTGAAGCTGTGCATTTTCCCATGCAGAACAATTTTAAGCAGTTTAAGTTATAAATGATGTGGGAATTTGACAGGTATGTTGATGATGTAATTGGAAATAGTAGGAGATACAGATAACCCCTCCTACCTTACCATACATTTCCATGTCATTTGAAATTAGAACCTGGTCATTTCTTCACAGGTTCTTCACCAGCGGGACTAAACTGGCTGATTTAGAGAACCAATGCTTATTTAGTTTACTTTAGTTGTAATGACTCCCTCAACAACTGTAAAAAGTAGTTACTAATTACAAAAATTTGAAAACATTAGTGACTTTTTAATACATTTACACCTATCCCAGGCTGCAGTGGGATTTGGAACACCACTCTTCAGATAAAAGTTGAACATTGTCCTTGGAACATTCCTTTTTTTAATTGTGTTGTGTTTATAACAGTCATGTTGTCTTTTTATTATGTAACAGAGAAAAACCATTTGGCTTTCACAAGTTGCTTTTTTCTGTTTGTTTTTTCCACCCCCTGTGTTGCTTCAGTTATTTATGGAGCTTTCAATGCTTCGGTTTCAGGTGCGAGTGTCTCTCAGGTTTATGTGGTGTTCCAAAATGCGAGCCAGGCTACATCCCCCAAATAGTGTCACGTGGAGACGGAACACCTGGCAAGTGCTGTGATGTCTTTGAATGTGTCAATGGTATGTTATGTTGACAGTGTATTTGGACTAAACATTCTGAGGTACTAGTATATGAGTAACATTAGCATCTTCCTCGCTGTGCAGCAAACAAGAGCAAGTAAAAATGGCGTTTAAAAAATCGAATAGGTCCACTTTTCCTCTCATAAAATTTATGTTGCAAATCTTTTATATATAGGTTAAGTACCAGCATTTCATTACTGTCTGTTTGGGTTTTTTACTTCATATGAACTCATGGGCTTTAGCTTGCTTATAAACTCAAATAGTGAATACTGAAGAGCACACGGACACATATGCTTGGGGTTCTGAAAAAAGTACGCTACCTATAGTTTCAGCTAAAAAATAAGCCACAGGGAAGGGTGTGGGGAACCAAAAGTCTTAACTAAAAGAGTTGTGTTTTTGTGTTGTGACATGAGTCAGATCTTGCAGCTACTGATACAGATCTTTCTTATGGAGTTGTTTCCTGTACACCCTGCTTCTTCTTCACTGAAAATCAAGGAGCAAGTTAAAACTTCTGGAATGCTTCCTGAGGCAGAAGACATCTTGTCTGTTCTTCTTCTTTCTTACGTATACTGTATAAGGTCACTTTAAAATATTAAAAAGTACTTCAGACAAGTTTCATCTTAATAGATGTCAGACATCACTTAATATATATTTATCAAAGTGACTAACAAAATATAAATGTAACTTTAAAACCACAAGGCCTCTACTTGAAGAAGAAGAATTGTCATTATTCAGCTTTAGCTAAAGCGTTCTGAGTAGTACATTTTATTTCAAAGTAGCTGAAGAAAGTAGAAATCAGATTTTTTTGTTTTTATACCTATATTTCTGTTTTGTTAGTTATACATACATATACAAATACACACATTTACACACACACAAATATATTCATGCATACACGCCCACACACTTTTTGATTTATCACTGATGGAGGGCAAGCAGTCCCATTTGAATGTACAGGTAGTCCTCGCTTAGTGACCACAATTGGGACCGGTAACTCTGTCGCTAAGCACCACGGTTGCAAGCAGAAAATCACATGACTGCAATAGGCTTACAACCTAACTTCCCATTCAGTCATTAGGTGAAACATCACATGACCGCGACTTATGATTTTACTTCTACCTTCTCTATTTAACTGCTTGTCACAAGCCAGTTGTGAAGACACAAATGATGATCATGTGACCACAGGACACTGCAACAGTTGTAAATGCAAGGATTGGTTGCAAAGCTTTTTTATTTTTTTTTACACCATCTTCAAATGGTAGCTAAGTGAGGTAGTCAGTAAGTGAGGACTGCCTGTATGACCATTCCAAAATGGCTTATCAGAAATGAAAAGGCATGCTTGTGCAGGCTTCCCAACATTCCCTAGTGTCTCCTGCTATAGGGAGAGTAAATTACTGTAAAATTAACTAAAATGATAATCTGAATAAGCAGAAACAGTGACATCACACTTTAATAGAAATTATTATCAGCAAAATAAAATAACTATGCAAAATTACTATTAAGACTCAGGATTTTTTTTCCCAAAAACACTAAATTCACTTGAAGTCCTAGGACTTCTTCCTTCACCATCAAATCACTTTTGATACCTACTTAGAAGTAAATCCACTGAATTTAGTGGGGCTTTCTACCAGAGAAGTGAGCATACGACTATTGCTGCCAATCTGTAGGACAAGAATAATACCATCAGCTTTGTCAAATAGATAGAAACACTAGTTTGCACTCCTCTCTTTGTGTAGCTGAGCTACTCTGTCCATAGCCGTATACAGGATGAGAGACGAGGGCCGCATGTAAGGGGCAAGGCCCGTTCAGCTTCTCATTGCCAACCGTGTGCTGGGGACAGCAGTTTTCCAGCTCACTTGTTGGCTGACTGTAAGACATCCTGTGGAATGGAGATCTCAGTGCTGTTAAAATAACAAATACAGCTAGTTCTTGACTTACGACCGTTCGTTCAGCAACCGTTCCAAGTTATGATGGTACTGGATGAATGGTGCTTATGATTGGTCCTCGGAGTTCAGCCATCCCAGCATCCCTGTGGTCACATGATCACGATCTGGGTGCTTGGCAACCAGCTTGCACTTATGATGAGTTGCAGCTCTCCATGATCACATGATCGCCATTTGCAGCCTTCCCTGCTGGCTTCCCCAGAAAGTCAATGGGGAAGCCAGCAGGGAAGGCCGCAAGTTGCTGGGGTAAGTCTCTCTCACCCACGCACCTCCCCCAGCCCCTCTGTGCTCACACTGTGCTGGCCACTCGCACACCCTCCCTGACCTGTGCCTCTCACTCATTACCCTCATGTACCCAGCCTGCACCATACCTCCCATGCACCCTCCCCAAGCTGCACCATGCCTCTCACACATCCCCTTGCACCCACACACACTCAACCCATGCTATACCTCTTGCACAGCCTTGCACACCTGCACCGCACCTCTCACATGCCTCCTTGCACCCTCCCCGACCTGCACCATGCCTCTCATGCACCCCCTCTCTCCCTCACACACCCTCCCCAACCCACACCATGCCTTTCATGCCCTCCTTCGCACCCTGCCCCCCTCTCCCAGTAGCAGGCACTTACCTGCGTGCTGGCCTGGGACTTGCAACTTCCTGCTGGCTTCCCCACTGACTTTGATTGTGGGAAGCCAGCAGGAAGCTGCCTTAGCTAAGGATCATGGGATTCAGTTAATGGCAACAAGACTTCAGGGGTTGCCGTCACTAAGCGATGCAGTTGTGGTTTACAGCCGCATCATTTAGCTATAGAAATTCTGATCCCAGTTGCCTGTCATGAGGTCAAGGACTACCTGTATGTTCTGCTTTGCTGGAGACAGAAGCCACTCCTGTCTTCTGCTTTCATAGTTGGGTCTCTCCAATTCAGTAAATGTGTTTACCACGTCTTCCTTTGCTTCCTTAAAGTAAAAAAGCAAGGGAGGGGCTCTCCAGAAGAAAATTGGTGAAGGAAGTATGAGCTTTCCCTCGCAGTGGATCAGATTCCAGGCAGCAGCAAGAAATGCCACTCTCTGTTAGTCCCAAGGCATGTTAAAAAAGAAAAATTATAGCAAGTTGGGGACTCTCATTGCACATCAGCAGGCCCAGCATGAATGCTGTTGCTTTCATCTTTGGTAAATTCTATTGAATTAAGAGCCATCAGCTCAGTTCAGAACCCAGGTGGCTTTAGATAGTTAAAAATACTGTCTGAATGGATCCTTAATGACACAATAGTATGATGTAATCAAGTAAAATTGGATTTCTGGTAACCCTAGGCAAAGAAAATTATTCTAGTATTAATGTAATTATGAGCAGCCGGTTTGGTGTAGTGGTTAAGGCACCAGGCTAGAAACTGGGAGACCCTGAGTTCTAGTCCTGCCTTTGGCACAAAGCCAGCTGGGAGATCCTAGGCCAGTGACTCTCTAGCCCTAGGAAGCAGGTAATGGCAAACCACTTCTGAAAAACCTTGCCAAGAAAACTGCAGGCAGGGACTTGCCCAAGCAGTCACCAGGAGTCAACACCAACTCGAAGGCACATCCTTATCATCATTATCGAAATTATAAACTGTGCAAATAATTATTAATACTGTCTACCTTTAAATCCAAAATATTGAACTACTTATTTAAAATCACTTAATCAGTTATATATAACATTAATTAGATGCAAATAAAAATTATGAAAGAGTTTAGTCACTTAATATGCAAACACAAATTGGTTATGAAAGTTCTGGGGTATGAACTTAAAAATCTTACATTTCCAGGAGCATTATGCCACTAACCACCTCAAAGCTGTCTTGATCATAAGACTTTAGAAGACAAGAAGCTTGTTTTGAAGTACGCTATATAGATTATTTTAAATCTTGTAACATTTAAAATATTTTAAATACTATTTAAAATGCTGCATAATTTTTTCAAAGCAAATAGCCATTAATATAGCTGTCCAAAGAAGTAGATAGCTATAGGTGAATGGGTGCAGTGCCTTTTGTCTGACTATTTTTAAAACTACTCCAAAAGTATTTCTGTAATTTCTCGGTGTAAGAATGATAGTAAAGAAAGCAGTTCTGGTCCAGGATTGTTTATTAACTAGTGGTAATTCCATTTAAGTAAAGTTACGGTATGATATTTGACTACAAAGCAGATGTGATACCTGGAAATGGCAAGTTTATTTAAATTTCTTGTCCTATTTTTTTTCTGTAATGAATATTAATATGAACATTAAAAACAAAAAATCAGCAGTTCTAGTATCTACCTAAGGAAGCAAAGTATTCTCTGTGATAGTATAACAAAGTCAAGCTGTGCATTTTCCATTGTTTTCAGACATTACTAAATACTTTATTCCTTTTAATTTATTCATGTATTTGCAAAGTTTGTATGCTATGTCAGTCAGAGTCTCTAATTGGATTACAACTAGTTTGTATTAGAGAAATGGTAGAAAACAGGTATTGTAATACTGGGAGCAAAGGCAATTGTTGTGTGTATTGTTCTTAGCTTTGCAGTCTTTGAATTGTGGGAACAATAGCTAGTATGTACCACACTTTTCCTGCAGCTGTATTCATGTGTCCTGTCCTCATGACCCTTCAAGAAAAAAAATCTAATTGCATCATTCAAGATTTCATTCTGCATTTGATGTGGGGGCAAGATGTGTGCAAGTCTGACTGTGCATATTCACTTAGAAATTATGAGTTTAATGATGGTACAGATTGTGAGATCTGCTCCCAGTGTCAGTATATGAAGAATATAAAAGTTGTAGACATCATCCAAAGAGGACTGTGTTTTGCACCTGAGACAAAAAGAAATCCTAAAAACGAAAACATAATGATAATAAATTAAGTAATTAACAGTTTGCTGACCTTTCTTGAGACCCCTAGCCCTGCTCTAGTTTGGCAGCTGAACCCTTCAGGCTAAATTTGGGAAATAATGACACAGATTTCCCCTCCCCTCCCCCCACTTCCATTGTAGAAAACAGGAGTAGGGAGGGTTAGTCAACTACACTCAATATCTACTTGCAACCATTGGCTGTTAATGAAGAAGGCAAAGAATATGGGCAGCCCTGCTGTACGTTGCATTTCTGTTTCTTGGCCAATTGAAAATATTTCTGTGATTGTTTGATTTAGGCTTGGCAGGATATGCTGTTATAATATGCATACTGTACTTTACGGCATACTCTGATGTGTAAATTCAGCCAATGGTAGATTTTTCAATAAACTCAGCCAGTAGTCTTCCCCTGCCTTAAAAAAAAAAGAAGCGTATCTATCATAATCCATATCCCCTTTAATTATCGTTGCTCACCAGTTCCTTGTAGGAACACTACAAGTGCCACAAAATCTTTTTCTGTAGGATGAGGGATGTTCTGACAAAGTAATGAGATATATCCACACTGACATACTGTTATATATTTAAATGGAAAATATTTCAGAATCTCTGAAAACAGAAATCCAAGTTAAACAGAAATTCTGATTTCTTGTCTGAATTAGGACCAGCTAATTGCACAAAACTGAATTTCAGAAACGAAGCCTTCTGGTATTTTATTGTTCAACATCCCCATGAAAAATATCTTTTTTCCTGTTTGCTGTTTTCAGAAGTGAAGCCAGCGTGTATATTTAATAGTGTGGAATATAATGATGGAGATATGTTCCGAATGGACACTTGCCGGTTTTGTCAGTGCCAAGGTGGTGTGTCTATTTGTTTCTCGGCACAATGTGGTGAGCTACACTGCGATAGATACTATGTACCGGAAGGAGAGTGCTGTCCAGTCTGTGAAGGTAATTTTTTTTTCACTTGGCTTTAGGAATGGATGAATATTAACCTTAAAAGCTAAATATAATATACTATAGCAATAGTTAAAAGTTGATAGTGAAAGAAATTTGACACTGGTCCAACTGACATGAGTTTGGTTATTTATATATTTAATACATTTATATACAAATTTATATGCAGTACTTCTGCACAACTCTGATTAATAATGCAAAGCTTATTGTAATTTCATATAACCTCTGATGCTCATATATTTCCTATAAGAGTAGTAGTTCTGCCATTTTCCTATTAAAAGTAGACTGCATCTCATAAAGTACTACTTATAATTCATTGCTGGTAACATTTCAGAAGGATAATTTATGTTTTCTGACACTTTAAAAGCACACAGCCTTGCAGTTGTACCAATAATAATGTGGCCTTGCAGTATATCACTTTTAATCTTGACTTGATGAATTCTGAGAACTTTCAACGCGCTGTTACCAACATGGAATATATATTAATCATTGCAGGTGAATTAAACCATCTAAGATCTATTTAATTGTGGGTTTTTTGCTTTTAGATTCCATTTCTCCAATTAGTAACCCTGCAGGCTGTTATGCTAATGGTCAGATTCAAGCACATGGTGACCGCTGGAGGGAAGATGACTGTACTTTCTGCCAGTGCATCAATGGGGAGTCCCATTGTATGGCCACAGCCTGTGGACAAAGTTGCTTGAATCCTGTAAAAGTTCCAGGAGAATGTTGCCCGATGTGTGAAGGTCAGACATGGAAAAATTAATTACCTCTCTTTTTTGTGGGGAGGGAGGCATAGCTTTGATTACAGTGTTAAAAACAAAACAAAAGCCCTTCCCTTATCTAATAACAGAAAAACGTGTGCCATCAGCTTTAACTGCAATGAATAGAACTCATTTGGAGAGGAGTGAGTTTTTGTATGACTGCATTAGACGTGAGATAATACAGGCTGCTGCCGTATTATCTGCAAAACAAAGGGGGAGACATGACATTCTGTGAAAAATCTCTACATCTATAATTAAATTGAGCATTTGTTTGTGCCAGTTTTCACTATAGCCATTTTTTTCTCACTTGCTGGTGTTTCAGACCCACTTTAATTTTATTATTAAAATGTTTTTTTCACTCTGATCTGCAGTTCTCATGAAAGGAGTGATGATAACACATTGTCACGTGGTCAATCAAAGTTGATCAGGTCTCAGCCTTACTAAGGGCAGTCTTCCTTCTGCCTTACACTAAATGGGAGAAAGAAGAAGTGCATCATCCTCCTGTTGTCTCTATAGTGAATAGGAGGGATAGGAAACATCTTTTTGTCCAGGCAACTGAGCCAATTCTTTGTGCTGGCAGTTTCACTGTCCATTGACACTGTGATTCAAAACCTTTGTCCTAAGATTGGCTCTGCATCCTTACCCCTAGCATATTTCTCGTGGCAGTGGTGACATATTTGTATTATCCTCTGTTATGCAACTGACTATGTGACAGCGCTGCTGAGAGTACCTGAAGCTCTCCTATTGTGCCTACTCTGAGTAGGAAGAAAGAGGAATGCTTCTAGTTGCCCAGGAAACTGGCTGATTTGTCCTGTCGTGCCACGTTATGGGAGTTCTTCATTTTTTCTTTTAGGAGTATAAAAATCCCCAACATGAATTGCATTTCAAAATGACATGTAAAATACATAAAATGTTCTTCCTATGTTAGCTCAGCAGTAGGTTATACAATATTGAATAGGGATAGAAAAGTAGTCAGCTTTAAGTTTTCGGAATTTATTGGGTCAAAGAAGAAATGATAGATAAAACACAGTCTCTTAGGCAGTGTTTCTTAACCTTGGCAGCTTTAAGCTATGTGGACTTCAACTCCCAGAATTCCCCAGCCAGCTTGCTGGCATGGGATTATCAGTCAGAATATATTACAGGTAGTCTTTGACCTACGACCATTTGTTCAGCAACTGTTTGAACTTATGACAGTGGTGAGCAAATGGTGGTTATGACCAGTCCTCGGAGTTCCGGCCAACCCAGCACCCTGTGGTCACATATGACCATTCCAAAATGGGTTATCAGAAATGAAAAGGCATGCTTGTGCAGGCCTCCCAACATTCCCACTTAGTGTCTCCTGCTATAGGGAGAGTAAATTACTGTAAAATTAACTAAAATGATAATCTGAATAAGCAGAAACAGTGACATCACACTTTAATAGAAATTATTATCACCAAAATAGAATAACTATGCAAAGTTATTATTAAGACTCAGGATTTTTTTTCCCAAAAACACTAAATTCACTTGAAGTCCTAGGACTTC